GCTACTTGGGAGGTTGAGGCAGGAGAATTACTTCAACCTAGGAGATGGAGGTTGCAGTGAGCCAAGATCGAACCACTGCACTCCAGCCTGGGTGACAGCAATACTCTCTCAAAAAAAAGTAAAGGTTATGTCCTTTGTATTCTAGTTATAAAGTTTTATTTTAGAAATTTGACAGATTCTTTTGAGGGGCTGTAAAATAAAAAGGGTGGGGTTTTGAGGTTTTTTTTTTTTTTTTTTCCTCTCTGTGACTGTTAAAAAGCTTAGATTTTAACCAGGTGTGGTGGCTCATGCCTGTAATCTCAGCACTTTGGGAGGCCGAGGTGGGCAGATTCAATGAGGTCAAGAGATTGAGACCATCCTGGCCTACATGATAAAACCCCATCTCTACTAAAAATACAAAAATTAGTTGGGCATGGTGGTGTACGCCTGTAGTCCCAGCTACTCTGAAGGCTGAGGCAAGAGAATCTCTTGAACCCAGGAGATGGAGGTTGCAGTGAGCCGAGATCGCACCACTGCACTCCAGTCTGGCGACAGAGCAAGACTCCGTCTCAAAAAAAAAAAAAAAAAAAAAAACTTAGATTTTACTCTTACAGTAAGATACAAATTTTTACCTCCCAATTTGAAAGCTACTTTTCAGAAGTGTACTGTTCTCTTTCCTTAATAGTGTTATAGACTACACTGAAAATACTTTATTTTTTTCTTGAGTAGGTTTATAGCTTAGTAAAGTATTATGCAGTAAAATAGGGGTCACTTGAACCTAAGCACTGCAATACCATGACACTCGGTTAGACCTAGACAACTGCTAAGTGACTCACTGCTGGTTGTATGTACAGCATGGATAGACTGGACAAAGGGATGGTTCACATCTGGGTGGGATGGAGCAGGATAGCATGAGATGTCATCATAATACTCAGAACAGTGGTCAATTTAAAACAGGAAGTATTTCTGGAGTTTTTTATTTAATGTTTTTGAACCACAGTTGACTGCAGTTAACTTAAACCACTGTAGATAAGAGGGAACTACTGTATAAGGTCTGTTAATTTATCTTGAAAGTCTAAAATTTTTCCAAGAAATTTACTCTTTATTTTTTAGTTGACAGATAATTATTGTACATATTCATGGGGTACATAGTGAGGTTTTGATACATATGATGTTTATTGATTAGATCAGGGTAAATAGCATATCTGTCATCTCAAACATCATTTCTTTGTGTCGGAAACATCCTAGTTATTTGAAATGATGTAATATATCATTGTTAACTACAGTCATTCTATTGTGGTATAAAAGATTACAACTTATTCCTCCTATCTAGCTGTAATTTTATATTATTTAACAAATCTCAGCCAGGTGCTGTGGCTCGTGCCTATTTTCCTAGCACTTTGGGAGGCCAAGGTGAGAGATTTTCTTGAGTTCACTAATTGGAGACCATCCTAGGCAACATAGCAAGACCTCATTTCTACTAAAAATTAAAAAAAAAAAAAATTGACCAGGCATGGTGGCACATATTTTTAGTCCAAGCTACTTGGGAGGCTGAGGTGGGAGGATCACTTGAGCCTGGGAGGTCAACGCTGGAGTAAGCTGTAATTGCACCACTGCCCTCCAGCCTGGGTGACAGAGTGAGGCCCTGCCTCTCAAAAAAAAAACAAATATTTCCTTATCCCTCCTTTCCTCCTCCCCTTCCCATCTGATAGTATCCTCTGATCTACTTTTTATTTTTATGAGATTAACATTTTTAAGCTTTCACACATGAGTAAGAACATGCGGTGTTTGTTTTTATTTCACCTAAGGTAGTGTCCTCACATCCATCCATGTTACCATGAATGGCAGGATTTCATTCTTTTTTTATGGCTGATTAGTATTCCATTGTGTATGTATACCACATTTCTTTATTGTCATCTGTTGTTGGATACCTAGATTCATTCCGTATCTTGGTTATTAAGAATAGTGCTGCAATAAACATAGGGATGCCGATGTCTCTTCAATTTAATGATTTCCTCCAAGAAAGTAACTCTACATATCTTTATTTAGGCTTCTACCACAAAAATATATAGGTAGCCCTCTGTATTTATGGGTTCTGCATCTATGGATTCACCCAAGTGTGAATCGAAAATATTTGAAAAAAGAAAATTGCCTCTGTACTGAACATGTACAGATATTTTTTCTTGTCATTATTCCCTAAACACTACAATGTAACAACTATTTGCATAGCTTTACATCATATTAGCTATTAAAGTAATCGAGAGATTATTTAAAGTATGGGAGGATGTGAGTAGGTTATGCAAATACTAACTCGTTTTATATCAAGGACTTGAATATCCATGGATTTTGGTATTTGAAGGAAGTTCTGAAACCAATCGCCCATCAATACCAAGGGACAACTGTGCCATTTGATATACTTGTCCTGGAATACTGCAGTTGTACCAGATTATTGCCTGGAGACAGTTATCGGGCCACAGTGCAGGGAGAATAAACTCAAACAGAGCTTGGTGGTCATACTGAATTAAAGAGATAGAGTTTAGGGAAAGTCCATGGCAGCTAGAATTTGCAAGGCAGAGTATGAGAGACGATGGAGCTACATAGAGAGAAAGCTCCAGGTATCTGCATAGGAATCCCCTTGAGTTTTTGGTCGAGTATTAATTGCTGTATATGTGAGAGGAAGCTACATAAGGCCAGGGAAATACGTACGCAGAAAAATTCCTAGAACTTCCAAAGTTTTCGGAATAATTTGAGTTCCCAGCAGCCACAGGAGAAAAGACTATATAACACACAAAGTACTTGATACAATGATCAAAAGAGTTTCACCTTTGTATGGGGAATAAATTAGCTCTAGACTAAAGGCTGCTCTTCACTTTCCCTAACAAGGGTAAGTCTCAAAAGAATAAACTGGTTCCAAATACCCTAATTGCATTCACAACAAAATCCAGTAACCACTGACTTAATGCTCACAATGTCTAGTATCCAATCAAAAATTAGCAGGCATGCAAAGAAGAGAATTCAGCCGTGAATACAGAGGAAAATCAATCAATAGAAACAAAACCAGAAATGACAGAGATGTTAGAACTGGCTAGCAGACTAGGATTTTTAAAATATGTTTTGTGTTCTGTTAATTCAAAGAAGATAGAAGAAAATGTCAGTATACTGAAAAGAGAAACAGGAGCTATTTTTTAAATACCTGTGTGAAATCTCTCGATATGAAACAAAAAATACACTGGATGAATTAGACAGTGCAGAAGGAAAAGTTAGTGAACTTGAAATCTTAGAAATAAAAATTATCCAAAATTAAGCGTAGAGTGAAAAAAGTATCAGTGACATGGAGTAGTATAAAGTAGCCTAATAAAGTTGTAATACAAGAAGGAAAAGAAAGTGTTTGGAGGCAGAGGAATATATATATTTAGAGAAGTAATGGTTCAAAAATTTTCAAGTTTCATAGAAGCTATAAGCCCACAGATCCAAGAAGCTTAACAAAATTCAAGCAGAATACATGTAACAGCACATTGTAATCAAATCAAAAGTCACTAAAAGAAAGGGGGACATTACAGAGATAGGACAATAGCATATTTTTTCTTCAGAACTATGCAAATCAGAAAATAATGAAAGTACATCTTTAACAAAAGAAAACCTGTCAATTTAGAATTATTGATCAAATGGGGCAATCTCTCAAAAATGAAGATAGTGAAGGCTTTTCAGAAAAAAACAAAAGCTGAAAGAACTAATTGCCAGCAAACCTGAACTACTAATATTAAAGAAAGTTCTTGAGGTAGAAGGAAAATGATACCAGATGGAAATTTAAACCTACATGAGAAAATGAAGCGTGCCAGAAATGGCAAATCTGTAGGCAAATATCTTTTAAAAGATAATCTTTTTGGACAAAATGGAAATCTGAATAAAATACATAGATTATTTAATACTAATGTACTAATGTTAATTTCTTAGTTTGACATGTGCTATAGTAATATAAGATGTTAACATTGGGGAAATTGGATAAGGGTATAAGGAATCTCTGTACTATCTTTGCAGCTTTTCTGTAAATCTAAACACAAACATTTAAAAGATAATGTACTGTTTAAAGCATAAATAATCAAAATGTTTTATGGGTTTATAGCATATATAAAACTAAAATACATGGCAACAGTAGCATAAAGGACAATAAAAGGAAATGGAAGTATATTGTGGTATTGTTTTTACATCATATGTGAGGTGGTATAATATCATTTTAAGGTAGACTAATAAGGTTATATATTATAAGCCCTAGAGCAATCACACACACGCAAAGACATAGCCAATAATCCAGTAGTGGAAATCGTATGGAAATATTAGTCGGGGGGAAAAAACTTGATTGATCCAAAAGATAAAAAGAAAATGGGACAGACTAGCAGGGAAGCAAGGTGGTAGTCTTAAACCCAGTCACAACAATAACTGCATTAAATGTAAATGTTCTAAACATTGCAATTAAAAAGCAGAGATTACCAGACTGGATAAATGTAAAAGAATGAACTACCCATATATCGTTCAGCATGAACGAATACTAAATGAAAAAAGACACAAGTCATTACATAGTGTGTGATAATATTTATATGAAATTCTATAAAGGGCAAAACAGAAGGCAGATCAGTGGTTGCCAGGGCCAGCAGTGGAGGAAAGAAATTTACTATAAAGGAATAAGAAGGAACTTTTGGGGGTGATGAAAATGTTCTATTTTGTGATTATGATGGTGGTTACATGGCTATATATGCCAAAACTCAGCTACTTGTATTGTGGATTTAATGAATGTAAGTTCAGTAAATCTGAGATCACACGGCTGATTAGTTATATGCATTAGGTAACTTAAGGAATGTGAAGCTAAATAAGACTATTTTAAGTGAAATGAAAAAATAAGTACTGAAAAAATAAAATATCTTTACCCTAAAAATATGTATTTTCAAACTGTTAGAAGTTAATATGATATTTAAAATGAACTTTTATTATGTACTAAATTTTAAAATATGTTTTAAAATTATTAGGTTGAACTAAAACGACAATACAATGACCACCATTCAAAACTGAGAGGTCTTTTACCTGGCCGTCAGTGGTATGAAATTCAAGCATACAGGGCCTTAAACCAGGCCCTTGGTAGGTAAGTGGAGTGAAATTTAATATAATGTAATATTATCTGTGACAGTGCTGTATATATAAAGCTAGTCTTGCTACTTTACTCTTTATAATAAATTTGGTAAAATTTTATTTGACTAGAACCTTAGGAACTGGTATATTTTCAATGAAGTTATTCCCAAAACAAAACTCACAGTTTGCTAAAGTTTAAAGAATTTTATGGGTCTAACAATGAATAGCACACAAAGATGCTAAGTAAATATTTATTGAAGGAAACTTATCCAAGTTTTGTCTTATGAATATCAAAGCTCAGATAATGATTTTATAGATAAACAGAACTCTCTCCTCCCTTCCCCCAAAATGTCAGGGAAGAAAATTGATATATCAGCCACTGTGAGGAGATATTCTGTTTGAAAGTGCACTTTCAGTAACTGAAAGTGTATAGAATCTGCGTATCTGTTAATTTACGTCATCAAATACAAACAGAATCTGTTTTACTGCCCAGTGACCTTTTGTAGTTGCACAATTTTTTATCCGGCTTCTATGTAAAGAAGGTATCTGACAGAAAAAAATACCATTTTCATTTTAATGTTATTTCTGAGGTTTAGATAACAGTATGATTACCATCTATACTTTCTTGTGTCTTTTATGTATAGTGATAATGTTGAAGGATAACATTGGAACTGAAGGATATTGAATAATTAAAGAAAAAAATAAAATAATAGTTACTTTTTTTTTTTTTTTTTTTTAAGACAGTCTCACTCTGTCACCCAGGCTGGAGTGCAGTGGCATGATCTCGGCTCACTGAACCTCCACCGCCTGGGTTCAAGCGATTTTCCTGCCTCAGCCTCCCGAGTAGCTGGGATTACAGGCATGTGCCACCATACCCACCTAATTTTTGTATTTTTAGTAGAGATGGGGTTTCACCATGTTGGCCTGGCTGGTCAGGAACTCCTGGCCTCAAGTGATACATCCACTTTAGCCTCCCAAAGTGGTTGGATTACAGGTATGAGCTATTCGGGAGGCTAAGGTAGGAGGATCGCTTGAGCCTGGGTGGTGGGGGTTGCAGTGAGCCAAAATGATTCCACTGCATTCCAGCCTGGGCAACAGAGCCAGACCCTGTCTCAAACAAAAAAAAAAAAAAAAAAAGCAAATCATTCAAGAAGGGTTAAAACAAGCCATAGTCATGGTCCTAAAGAATTAACACCAAACTGGGCCAGGCACAGTGCCTCACACCTATAATCCCAGCACTTTGGGAGGCTGAGGCGGGTGGATCACGAGATCAGGAGTTCAAGACCAGCCTGGTCAATATGATTAAACCCCTTTTCTGCTAAAAACATACAAAAGTTAGCCAGGCATGGTTGCAGGCACCTGTAGTCCCAGCTATTCAGGAGGCTGAGGCAGGAGAATTGCTTGAACTGGGAGGCAGAGGTTGCAGTGAGCCAAGCTTGCGCCACTGTACTCCAGCCTGGGCGACAGAGCAAAACTGTCTTAAAAAAAAAAAAAGAACACTGACTAAACATTTCATCATGATATTCCTATTTCTAAGCATTCTTGCCCATTAAGATTTGTGCTTTGTGAAACTCATTTTTATATATTTTATATAGTCATGCATCACTTAATGACAACAATATGTTCTGAAAAGTGAGTTGTTAATCAATTTAATCATTGTGGGAACATTATGGAGTGTACTTACACAAACCTAGATAGTATAGTCTACTCCACATCTAGGCTACATGGTATAGCCTATTGCTCCTAGATTACCTACCTGTACAACATGTTACTGTACTGTAGACAATTGTAACACAATGGTAAGTATTTGAGTATATAAATGTAGAAAAGATAGAGTAAAAATATGGTATACAAATACAGTATATTAAAAACGGTACAAATATATGTGGTACTTATCATGAATAGAGCTTACAGGACTATAAGTTGCTCTGAATGAGTCGACTGAGTAGTGTTATGTTTTTGCATTCTCAACAACCGTGTCTCAAGTGCTTGTTGAATTAATGAAAAATGTGAGGTTCAGTGCTTTTTCCTACTATGACCATATTGCCCAGAGAGCTTTTAGAGCTTCAAAACTTGCTTTCCTAGAATATCATAAAAATCGTGCATTTATAGTATTGATATATAATACTGTACTTTTAGTATTTTATTAACTTTTTTAAATGGAGAGCCCAGCTCTCATTTTATTGATTTTGAGGGAATATCAACAATTAATAATTTGTTACAAAGGAACTTATCCTTTGAAAAATCAATCAGTAAGTAAAATTTTTTAAATTAAAAAAATAAAGATCAAGCAAATGTTTTGTTATTTAATAAAACTCATAATGTGTATTGATTGACAGAAAAGGTGCTTATACTCTGAGTCACTCTTCTTGTAAGGGGTACATCTAGAAGATCTAAAGTAAGCAGAAACCAATGGATTCTTTTTAGTGTTATTTTTTTTAAGCCCACATGGGACTGTTAGAGTATTTGAAGTACTATAAGTCTATGAAATACAAGAACAGCCTTTGGAAATATACCAGATGGTTTTGCAACCAGGTTACAACTGCACTATGAGTTTCCTCACTAGTCTTTGTTGCTTTACTGAAAGCATAGGCTTTGTCTCAAGCAGGCATAATTCGTTTAAGCAAGGCAGTTTGAAAACAATAGTAAAAAGAAAAGGTGAAGTCTTTTTTCTTTGAACTGTTTTATTAACAGGAATACCATTCTACCATACCATAGATAAATCATACTGGAACCAAAATATAGTGGCACACTGACTCTTCATTGACTTTCAGTACTCTTCTATAGTATTGACAATATTAATCTTCCTATCCTCCCCCATGTTATGGTCTGTTGCCTTAAGAGCCTATAGGTTACTTTAAAATAATATCAAAAAAGAATGTCCTATAAAATTTAGATTATTTTAGTAGTTGTGGAAAAATTGAACATTTATGTTACTTTTCACCCCCTCAAAATCCTATGATAATAAAGGAATGAAAATGTCAAACCTGCAATGTTACAAAGGGAGAGAGGAGACATTGACAATTTGTTGTGACAAACACAATAAATTTTGAACACTAGAAAACAGCTGAATGACTGATTGACTTAGCAGGAAAGAGCTGAAATTTAAATCTACATTGTTGAAAGTCAACAAGAACTTTCAGATTTATGCATGAAAAAGCCTAGGATTTGGAGCACTCTAAAATGTCAATGACAGTAAGGTTTAAAAAACAGGTGGCTTGGTTGCAGGTTAGTGTAAGAAAAATTAGCCCCCTCCCTCACCCAGGTTTACTTCTGGAAAGGCTGAACAACAGAGTCTCTGTATTCTTCAACACCAGGCACGGCTGAGGAGGTATTGAAGATAGAGGTTAATATTATATATGGGGATTCTATATACTGAATGTGAGAAATCCATCCCCGTTTTCTTTTCAGCTCTGTGTAGACTGACAATCAGTCTTACATCTCCCAGGCGGAAATGTGTAGAATTCCTCTTTAGGGAAACTGACCACTCCATGTGAAAGTGTTTACAAATTGGCCCTGTTCCTACCAAATTACCCTATAGCAAACTTCCCAGCCTATAAGCTCTACCCATACATTCAGAGCTGCCAATCAGTGTTTTAGTGCCTTACCCTTAAGTAAGCGCAGTCTTCATCAGATTGTCAAAGAAAATCTCTAACACGAAAAACAGACCAAAACAACAACAACAAAACAAGTCCAAAAAGCAAACAAAAACAGAGCAGAACTCCGAGAAAATAGAAACAGTACAACAAGCTAGAACAAGGATTGGCCAGTGTTTTCTATAAAGGGCCAGAGAGTACAGTAGTCTGTCTTTATCCACAGATGACACATTCCACAATCTCTACTAAATGCCTAAAACCATGGATAGTACCAAACTCTGCGTATACTATGTTTCTTTCTGTCTGATAACCAAGATGGGTACTAATTGACTAACGGGCAAAAAGAGTATACAGTATGGACATGGTAGACAAAGGGATGATTAACACCCTGAGTGAGACAGCATGAAATTTTTATCATGCTACTCCGAAGGGCATGCATTTTAAAATGTATTACTTCTGGAATTTTCCATGTAATATTTTTAATACCTCCTCAGCCATGCCTGGTGTTGAAGAATACAGAGACTCTGTTGTTCAGCCTTTCCAGAAGTAAACCTGGGTGAGGGAGGGGGCTAATTGTTTCTTATACTAACCTGCAACCAAACCACCTGTTTTTTAAACCTTACTGTCATTGACATTTTAGAGTGCTCCAAATCCTAGGCTTTTTCCTGCATAAATCTGAAAGTTCTTGTTGACTTTCAACAATGTAGATTTAAATTTCAGCTCTTTCCTGCTAAGTCATTCAGTCATTCAGCTGTTTTCTAGTGTTCAAAAATTATTGTGTTTGACCACGAGTAACTTTGAACCATAGGCAAGATTGTAGCTATGGGGGACTATTGTGTATATTTTAGGTTTTGCAGGCTATATACAGTCTCTATCACATATTCTTTGCTTTTTCCTTAACCCTTTTCAAAATGATCACTTGAGGTCAGCAGTTTGAGACCAGCCTGGCCAACATGGTAAAACCCTAATTCTACTAAAAATATAAAAATTAGCCAGGTGTGGTGGCATATGCTACCCAGGAGGCTGAGGCAGGAGAATCGCTTGAACCCAGGAGGCAGATGTTGCAGTGAGCCGAGATAGCGCCACTGCACATCAGTCTGGCTGGCAGAGACTCCTTCTCAAAAAAAAAAAAAAAAAAAAGTGAGGACCATTCCTACATATTGAAGGCTGTACAAAAACAAGACGTGGGCTATTCTTGTGGGCACTGTAGACTATAGTTTGCCAACCCCCAGATAGGAGAAATCTTCAAAAATATATATCTGTAATATCCATAGAGAGGTACCATATTGCCTCCATGAAACAAGAACAAAAGAATAAGAAAAAGTTCTTAGAAATTAACACAACAATTTTTAAATGCATAATAGGGCTGGGAAGATAAAATTGAAATTTTCCAGATCAAAAGAGAAAGAAAGAAAGA